CAGTCGAAGTCCCCGCCACCCCTCAGATCTCAATCTAGCAACGACACTTGGAACCGCACTGCTGCCGCTGCCCTTCGGGCACGCCTCCTACGCTTACCACTCACCTACGCTCTTGCAGCATGCCCCGTTCGGGCAATAGGGCTTTCGTAATACGCGAAGCAGCGATGAGCGATAGCTCTTCGATCGCTCTTGCGATAGCGAAGGCGTGGTTCATCCTCTAAGTCTAAGAGAGAGTAGATGCGAAGGTTCGGATCGAAGATCTTCGCGAGACGGTCCATGAATCTCGAGAATCGAGCGTGGGGCTTGAAGACCCTACCGCATTCCGGCCCCGGGGCCCTCAATTGGTCCTTTCTCTCTCCTCTTTCACCAGTGAGTGGTGACTTTCCTTTTTTTTTCTAGGTGGGTACCTCTTGGATTCAGAGTTTGTTCCCACAGCTGCCACACGTGAGATACTGATCGTCGTCCCCCCAGTGTTGTTGCCTGCTGTGGGAAGGAAGGAAAGTAGGGTTTCCTTCCAGGACCGGAGAAGGTCAAACTCTGGGCGGTCTGCCAGGTTTCGCCTACGCTACGGTTTCACAAGATTGAACCTTTTTTCTTCAACCGAAGTGTTGGAGTTCCAGAGCACGAGGGAATGGGCTTTCATTCCCGGGACCGCCTCGTCTATGTACTCGGCGCCTCACCCGATTGCTTGAAGATGCGCGCGCGATACGATAAAGGGCCCCTGGGAGGAACAAATGAAAAGCCAGGGTAGAGTCTCGGAGCCGGCCCAAGCGAAGATCGGCACTCGAAGGCTTGAGGAGCAGACCGGGAGGTTACAATTCCTGTTTCAATTTCCGGGAGTGAATGTAGGAAGTGCAGACGGTGGATCAGGTGTGAACATTCAACCAAAGGCGTCTTGGGGATCGGCAATAGCTAAGCATTGTGGCCATCACAGTTCAAGCTACGTATGGCTGGCGTACAACCTACGGGCTTCTTAGCTAAAAGAAAAAGAACAAAAAAGGATGCCTGCTTTGGTACCTTTAGTCCAATCTTAGACAAAGAGCAAGGAGGATTAAAAGACACTCTTCCCTTTCCCCTTTTTTTTCCTTCTTTTATAGCTATAGTGCTTATCATCCCTGAAGGTATCTTAGCATGGTAGCTAGTTCCCTTTTATCTTTCTTAGTCTAAGACTCAAAGTCTCCTCAATTGGCTTTAAAGAAGGAGAGTCGCATATCCGCTGTTGATCTAATCTATATCTAATTCGCAGATCAGTTGTTAAAAGTCTTCTATTCAAGTAAAGATTCAATTAGATTGAAATATAGATAGAGATCGCATATCGGTTTTGACTAACTCTCTTCTATGGGATGTCGCATATCGACTGTATGCTTTCCTCATTACCAGCATGCCGGTCCCCTCTTTCAGTTAAGTTTTTCTTTAAAAACGAGCTCCCTTCTTTAACAGCTTTTTCTACCCGATTTCAGAAGCTTCTATATCCACTAAGAACGAAATCACTTTGAGTAAGAGAAGAGGGGGCGCAGCAAGGCAGAGGATAGAGAAGTTGGGGGAAGGAAGACAGAGCGGCAGAGGAGCGGAAACCTCTTAGGCGAAGATCAATTCCTAGCGGGGCATGACACCAGATAGGCGGGGGAGGAACTATGAAATGAAGGACTTTTCCTTTCCCCTTTCAAGCACTTTTCTTTCACTGTGTCATCGAGCTTAGTTTAAAGGTCAGGGGAGAAGCTACTTGCCCCAATAGGGGAACTCATCCCGGAAAGCCTTTGATTCATAGTACATGGGACTGCCCTTTTTCCGCTCCTCTCGCTACCACGAAATCCTAGCCCGGGAGCACAACACCTAGCCACTCTATTTCCAGCTTCGCGAGACAGTGCCATCCCAAGTCAAGCGCTAGAAGAAAGGAAATGAGAGAACCGTCAGCAGTTCGCGTTGACGGCGTTAACAGAATCGGAGAAGAAGAGCTTAACGCAGCTCGACCCTCGGGCTCGGGAAGTACGGTCAGATTCATAGGACCGAGACTATCTCAGCTCATATCGGCCGTTTTAAGCCAACTAATAGGCCAAGAGCGAACACTTTTCCTAAGCCTAAGATCCGTTCATAGCCACATTTCTTCTTTGATTTATCATCGAAGTTACTTTCCCCGGGAAGGCAAAGAATGAATGGGAGAAGGAAGGGGGGTCCCGTATTTCATAGAAATGGCTGCTTTTAGGCGTGATCTATCTCTCTGCTTTTCATAGTCAAGATAAGATGTGCCCGTGGGAAAAGACTGTCTCTTTATGGAGAGACTCTCCTTCTCAGATTCAAACGCGGGATCTCCTCTTGATCCGGTAGTAGGGGGTCTTAGTTTTTGCTGTTACAGAATCCCGTGCTACGAATGAATCTAGTCACCATCTGATTTAGCTCTTTTTAGTATGGAAATGGCTTAAGGAAGCGAATGACTCGAGTTCAATTAGTTTGTCTAAGCCGGCAAGAGAGATGGAGTCACTAAGCCCTAAGGTTAGATCCATTATCTCACAGAGTGAACGAGATTCGGATCAATCATAAAAAAGTCAAGTAGGACAGAACCATTCGCTGCGAACAAGTCTTCTTTCAGAAGCAGTTTTCTTATCCGCTCTTGTTAGCTAGGGATTCTGTGTTGAAGCTCATCAAGCAAAGCGTGTTCTTGAACAACTGAATCGCCTTCCTTCAAAGGAACATCGGAATGCTTTACTCACAAGACTGTTCGAAGCTTCCCATAGCATTTCGGTGGAAAGCTGAAAGCTTGGACATTGGAAAACATTGTAGGGAACATCATGGCTAGTAGCTCCATTGCGTTCACTGATGAAAAAATTCCCCCAGAAGAACGAGGTCTGGTCTCTCGATCCTCCACATTCCAGTAAAATGGAAAGAGGATATAGCCTTGCAATCTTGCTTTTCAATTCAAGTAATGGACATAGCTCCATCTTACAGTTTTTTTCTGGGACGTCCTTGGATTGGATCCACATCGCTGGTGCTCTTCCATCTACCTTGCACAAAAAGATTCAGTTCATCTTCGACGACCAATTGATATGCATATATGCTATGCTGATTGAGGAAGACCTATTAGTAACCAAACCGCTCTATGCACCTTAGATAGAAGCCGCAGAAGCAGAAGAAGTAGATTCATGCTTCTACTTTCAAATTGGCAAAACGCCTTACTTAGCAGAGAAGCGAGAAAAGCGTTTAGCTCGGCCGAAAGGAAAGGCTTACCCCAGAACCAGAACTCAAATTTGATGTGCCTGAAACGGAACTCACACTGCCTGCAAGTAGCGATATAGTGAAGCTGGCAGCGAACTCACCTGGCCCTGCCGGCTGTAAAGGGACGAATTGAAGAGCCAGGAACTTCTACAAAGGGGAATGGCACGAGTGGGACTTTTCAAAAGACTGTCACTCCACCTTCCACTGCAACTCCAACTTCCACTTTCTTGGCTGGCCGATAGAAGGAATTTAAATACATGTAAGGAAACTCTTTCTATCATAAGATAAGTCATAAGACAAAAGAGGTGGGAGGGACTTACTCTACACTAGACTATAAACTTTCAACTCCTTTCGATCAAATCTTACCTTTCAGTCGAGTCACTTTACACTGACTACTGTGACGTGACTTCCTGGGAAGAGTTCGAACTTCCCACTATTGGGATAGGGTTGACCCCAACAATAGAGCCTAAAAAATGCTTCTCCAATGTAGAAAGTTTTGTTATAGTTAGAGACGAGACTTTTGTTCTAGAGCTAGAGGAAGTGAAGTCGAACGAGTGTAGTATCCTTCACTAAGAAAAGAGTATCTTCTAATAAATAAAAAGTGAAAGAACGACTCTATCTATCCTATCCGAAAAAGGAATAGGAAAGCTTACTCCCGAGTTCTATCTTAACGATTATTCAGAAAGGGAAGTAAGCTTTGGCATCATCAGCCACTTGCTCGACCACCAATGTCTTACACTGCATTGCCAGCGGCTTTAGCCTCTTGTACTTAAAAGGACTACAGCTCGTACGACTGCCCTACTTACTTACTCACTTGCATGTCGTCTCCGGCTCTTGACATTGCAGATCTATCTTCAACTCACTCTCGAGCGAGACCTGACTAGACATGAAATGAACCATCCATCCGTACTTCTTGTCTTAGCTCTTGTATTCGACGACGAGCCCTCCCCGTTGCACGGCCTTCCTTTGCTAGGAAGATAGCATTTCCATTCACTTACTTGTACGACGCCCTATCAACTCCTCTCTTTGAGTGGAACGCTTCTGCCGCCTGAATCTTGATCTCTATCTCTATATAAATGCCGACCCTTTAAGCTGCAAGTGTCTTTTTGAGAGGTTTCAGTTCAACTAAAGTCAATCAAGAGGCTAAACTCGATCTATCTTTCCGGCTTTCGCTCCTCCGATATCTCCCAACGTGTGGCACTCCGGCGCCTTCCAGAGTCAGCCTCCCTGCAACTCCCCACGTGCACTATTGGCCAATGAGGGATCGCCACCCCAAAAGACCATCAAATGCATAGCGACGGTCTTGAGGTATTGGCCGACAAAGAGAGGATCAGACGAGCGATAAAGTTGACGTATCGCCTTACAAAACAAGAAATAAAAAAGAGGAAGACTAGTTCAATAGCCAGTTCATTCGAGTCTATAAGAAGCAGAAGACATAGGCCTGCACGAAGCCAAGCCCCAGCCACTGACTGACTGATGGACTGACTGACTTGGGCTACCTTTAACCCGGAGATCCACTCTCCTCTGACCTACAGCTGGCTTGCTTTCTTGCCTTGTGAAAAGTGCTCTTGCTCTGTCTCTCGTTCGTCTTCTTCCTTGCTCCATAAGTTTTTGATAAAAAACAAGATGGATGGCTGTTCTTCTATCAGCTGGGAATGGAGTGGCCTAAGGGATTCTATCTACTAGCCGAGAAAATGGAGGCGTCAAGACATCTAGATGACAAAGAAGGCCTTCTCACGAATTGGATTCGAACCAATATCAAGCTACTTTCCTTCTTAGTAGATCGTGAGTGGGTCTGTCGTCCTCCTCATTATAGTCCTCCTAAAATCAATAGCATTTCGTCGGAATACATCCTGTCTTTTCACCTTAGTAGTCCTATGCATAGTCAGTACTATAGCCCCAATCATGGCTACTAATAAAATAAGACTCGGAACCAAAAACCAGACGGAATAGTAGGTATAAAGTAAATTGCCCAATGTTTCCAAATTAGTCCAACTTCGTACCTTTCCGGCATAAACCGTATATCTCAGAGAGGTCGTATTTCTTTGGGTTGGTAGTAATGGAATGCTTTCATTATCTAAAATGAAGAACATTTCCCACCAAAAGATCAGTCCAATAAGACCACTCACTGGTAAATAGCGCAATACTTCTTCGTGAATCTCCGCTATTTGAATATGGAACATCATAACAACGAATAGGAATGAAACGGCTATAGCTCCTATATGAACTACTGGGAAGATCATAGCGGAGAAGTCGAGACCTAACAAAAGAAGTAACCCTGAAGTGTTGCGAAAGACTGGGATGGGAAACAAAACGGAATGTACCGGATTTTTAGCACGTGCAACCATCAAACCAGAGACCAAAGCAGGGCTCGACAAAACAGAAAGTATCATGGTACGTCGTCCTTTCCTGAAATGGAACTTTCATGCTTGAGCAAGAACTAGCATGAAAGTCGATCTATTACGACCAGCGCGGTTGTTCCAATTTCATTTTCTTCTTCCAAGCCCTTCTTAGCTTAGAAAGCACTCACTGAGTTACTTACGGAATCTCAAATCTCTTCTCTCGACGCCGAGAATTTTTTATGTGTCTCGGTCGATCAGAGGTTCGGCTTGCTTCTCCCCCACCTTTTAGCGTTCTGGGCCCCTGAAAAAAGAAATAAACCCGAAATAAAAAAGAAAGAATAGAAATTGGGCCATCTTTGCCGAGAGAGGCCGCCTTCTCTCAGGCCAGCAGTCTTCTACTTCTAGTCGACTGCTCTATCACGGGCTTCCCTGTTTCCTGGGCTCTGCTCGCTCGTCTACGCTCCGACCCAGAAAGTAATAATTGAAAAACGATGTTTCCTTGCAGATTTCAAACTTGTCGTAAAAAAAAAAAATGGAATGAAATAGTGAATCAAGATCTAGATGGATCCCTATTTTTTTCTCTATCCACGGAGATACCTATCTATATGGATAGAAATCTATCTATAAATCGATCTAGACATCCTCTATCCGGATAGATTTGTCCCTATGAGCGACTACGCCGATCTTTATATGTTTTGGCCACGTCCGTTTCCGCTCCGAAGAGGAAGGTTTGGATCTTTCAATCTTATGTCGTGAGGGATGTGACCTATGTTAGGTCCATAAGATACCACAGCTTTTGGTGTTCTATGATTCACCTCCGAATAATGAGTAGGTAGTTCGATCCTTTTGATTCTTCTCTTCATAGTAAACTGATGGGGGGCTGCGGAGCAATAGGTCGAATTACTATATAAAGAAGAGTTGTAAACTAAAGTACTTCTTCTTCGAGTAGGAAGATATCGGTTTTTATCCTTCCTTCTCTTCGATAAGAATAGGGATTTGAAATGATACAAATTCCTCTTCATTCTGTTGTGCTCAGCGAAGGAACTGCCTAAGCATACTTTTTCGGATCCAAACTTCTTTGTTCTTTCTAAGTCTTCTTCTTGCATAGAAGAACGCAACTGTTTCAAAAACCGGGATTTTAGTAGTAGGTGGCATCCCCTCTTAGTTTTGAGTAGGTGGAACCATTCTGTTTTCGTTCTTCTCCACATTCTTACCGGCAGGAATTTGCCTATGATTTTATCAACTGATATTTCGATATAGAAAGATCTCCTTATTTCTTCACCGCGGATTCTCGCGTAATTTTCTTGAAAAGATATTAGATCACCGTGGGACACTTTCAAATGAGTAATGCTTACCATTCCATTATTCACACAAACCCTTCGATGACTTATCGGCTGCCTTGCTTGAGGAATAGTTTCACGAAAATGGAGACGAACCGGAATAACGTCCGATCTTGTTTCTGGATTGAGTGGAAAAGGGATATATGAAGTTTGTTCTGTTCCTCTGTGCATCTCTGTGATGGGTAAATCCCCATAAAAAAGGGACAACTTTCGTGTAGTTTGTAATTGGATGTAACTGTTAAGATTTTCTCTCGAATAAATCTTTCTCTTAATAGATCTGTTCTTCTTCCTCAATCTTCGGAGAATGCGGCGTTGTATTATTGTAAGTTCTCTCTTCCGAACATTTCCTGAAAGTAGACGACAAGTTTTAAATCTTAATGCAGGCATGATGTATTGTTGAATCAGTCTTTTTCGCCACATCGCGTATAACGGGAATCGAACCCCCTCTGCTGCTGGCGGGCGGATGGAGAATGTCCTACTTCGATCCAGCAACTTGTTAGGAGTTGATAGGTTGTTGGTAAGCTTCCAAAGCTCCTTCCTTCAGCTGGTGCGCAAGAGCGCACTTCCCTTTTCCCCTTACTAGTCAAGGAGGTGTAATGAATAGAGATCTCCCGCCAGAAGTCTTCTCTTCCTATCACTTCACTTCGTTCGATAGATCTGATCTGATCGGACCTCACCGGGCCGGGCGAAGGGGAAGGAAGGGATGGGTGGTCCGGGAACAGCAACGGGAGAGGGCTCGTAGCCCCCCTCTCCCTCTTCCCCGCGCCTATTTGTTCCCCGGGCCCCGGAAAGATGCGGAACTCTTTTTTTTTGAAGAAAAAGATGAATGGATAGGGCCATGATACATTCCGGAATATTGTAAAGGTAAATAGACTCTTTTCGTCCCCTTTTCGATGCCTGCCTGAGGACCAATGTGAATGTTTTGGAATGGGGATGTTTGCCTTTTGTAACAAGTAGACCCACGATACGGACTAATAGATGTTCCTACTCTTAGCCCTAAGTAAGATCTATTCATAGTTGGTCAGTCCCCCACGGCACGGCTTCTCGCTTTTCATGAATGTGTCTCCCCCTATGCTTATGTGAGTTTGACCCGCCTTTGACTCTGCTTGCTTCTGACTCCCTATGAGCCGTTTTACGACCTTACTTTTTCGGAGGGTCGGCGGGACATGGGAGCCTCAGCTCATGCATCGGTTTACCGAAATCACCTCCGCTATCCCACTTCCTTCTATTCAAAAAGGCGAGCAGCCCTTAAACAAGAAAGAAGGCCGAGGGCTCTTTTTTATATAAACCATAAGCCCTAAGTAGTCCCGAAAGCCGAACTCAGCAACTTGTTAGGAGTAGGTTTTGGTTGGAACCCTTTCTATGTTATTAGTAAAGCGCTAACGCCCTATCTATAGTCAGGGGCCTTTTCAATAAGGCTCGCGTAGGGGCGCTCACGTTTTTTGGCTCCCTTCGCTACACTAGCCTTGATTGTCGGATGGAAGTACCCAAGTGCGTCGGGTGGTATCTTATAGTTGATAAAGGCTGCATTTAGGAGTGATCCTTCCCTCTAATCATAAGAAAAGAAAGGTTTTGATTCGGGCAGTCGGACATTGAAAATTTTTTTTTTCTTGTAAGAGCAGGTGTAAGCTTATAGGCAGTAGCTAAGCGCTAAGAAGTTGGTTTTTGCACTTTGCTTAACACATGCAATTCGAACGAAGTTTTCTCGGAAACGATTTGAGATTCCGTAAGTAACTTAGTGCAAACATAGGGTTTGGTTTGGCAAATGAAAATGAAATACGAACAACCGCGCTGGTCGTAATGAATCAAAGAAGATCCAATCGCACCATGAATATCCTTCGCCCGTTATCTCCTCATCTTCCTATTTATAAGCCACAGCTCACTTCGACGTTTCCAATTTCCCATAGAATCTCCGGGGCTTTCCTAGCCACTATAGTTTTGTTTTTTTATCTTCTTTGTCTTTTTCTCGGCTCACTGGATTTCTTTCAGCCCCTACTTTCAAAGGCTGGGATCTCTTTTGCTAGTCGCAATGTACATTCTTTTTTATTAAAGGTTGGGTGCTCTTCGACTCTGGCCTTTGTGATTGTTTTTGGTGTGAGGATCGTCCGTTAGGACGAGGTCGAAACCACTATAAATCATATGGAACAAGCTGGGCGGTCTTCGGGCGCAAAAGCTCATTCCGAACCGCGCGAACCTTTGGCTGAGTCATCCTCTGCAACTTCCGCGTTGGATGTAAAAAAAGATGAACTTATTCGAGAGAATTTAAAAGAGAGAAAGGCCGCTCTCGGAGATGGCCAAGAAATATCACAAGTTCGGAAAGAAGTAAAAAAACTTAAACATAAACACAAAGGGGAAAGAGTTCAAATTAGTAAAACAACTGGAAAGGGAAGTGAAGACTAAGGAGCCTTGCCCGGTAACTAAATCCACCTTGAATGAAGTACAGAATTATCAACATACCATTCAAGATGGAACCGGACGGAGTAGACCTAACGATTAAAAAGATACAGACGATGAATAGAAAGAGCTTCAGCGGAAGTAAGACATATTCAACGGGGATAAGGGACCCCCCAGGTAGAGTAAAAAAGGAGAAGGCTTTTTGTACTTAGAAGGTTGTTCGATGATTTGGTAAAGAGGGTGGGTGGGATCGCGATCGACTAAAAGGGAAGTCCCCCGATAGGGGAGATATTGGTTCAAATCCAATTCGTGAGAAGAATCCAAGCGAGAGACTCGCGCGCATATGAGGTGGCTAATCCGGACCAGGTTCGAGAGGGGAAGGTAAAAGTGGAAGTTCTGGTGAAAATTACCAGAAGAACAGCGACCAGGTGGGATCTAAGATTGGTTAGGATCCTCAATGCATGACCAGGATGTGAGACACGCTGGATTTCAAACTGAGCTTTCACCTGCTAGAGTCAGTCCTCTCGTTTCAACACAGGTTGGTCACACTTCCCTTTATGCCTGTCTGTTTTTCCCAGTTCTTTACTTTCCTCCAATCTGTGAACCTTGCTTTCCTCGAGGAACCAAGATTATGTTAGAAAGAGCCCATCTGAAAGAGTTCCATTTAAACTTTTAGGAAAAGATTAGGAAAAGAAAAGGGTTCGGCCTGGGAAAAGACTGGGCGTCGTCGTCTTATACAAGAGTGTGACTCGGGAAAGAAAGACAGGTGGCTGGTCTAGAGCTAACCACTGAAAGCAGCATGCCTGGCTGGATTCAAGGAAAAAGACTCACTTCAGTGATCCTAGAAAAAAAGGGGTCGTGATCCAAATCCCGCTATTCTGAAATAAAGGCTTTAGCGAATAGATAGATGCCGAACTTCTCCCCCATGTCTATCATATAAAAAGCACAGGGCGGCTTTCTTTAGGGTTGTCAGGGGACCGGCTCGTTCAGTCGAAGTGGCCGGGCGCACACATTCGGTATTCAAGCTTCGGTGTTCCAGCCCCTCAGTTGACCCGCTTTCTTCGGTTGGTTCAGCCCAGTCGATCCAACAGCCGCGCCGCAGCAGCGGGTAGTCGTTCCACCACCAGCTTCTGCGGCAGAGTCAGAACTCATCGCTTAGTCAGCTCCCCCACCACTAGCAGCACCGGTTACATTTTCTCCAGTCGAACTAGAAGCAGCACTTGTTATAGCAAAAGACAAAGATGGGGTTGTGCTTCACAGTTTTTTCAAAAAAGAGCACGGTGGAACGAGCAGCATCAGTAGCGCCCGGTTTTCCACTTGATGTAAAGCCCCAACCGTGGGAATAGTGAATTGGGTAACAACATTCGAGATTAGCTAAAGGCGAAAGGCCTCGCCTATATCTGCGGGAGCTACGCATGCATCCTCACTCATCCTCCTTAGCGGCGGACAGAAGGCCTTCCACTCTCAACCTTGACAGAAAGGGTCTTTGTCTCGCCATGAATTGATCTTCCGTCTTGAGCACCTTCGCACGACCAATCCCTGAACCAGCAATAGTCAATAAGCTGACTCCTCCGAATCATCCGGCTCCTCAGAACTACTTCATACGGGAGGAGGCCACTCCTATATTAATACGGCGGAACCCCCCCGGCCTCTGGAGGCACCTTTTTATAATCGTCGTTATATAGATATAGAGTATCTATATGATAGCAGTTTCCTTTCTCTTGAATCCGTACCGGCAGGTTATTACAACCATAGAAGCTCAGCTCAAAACTGCCCAGCTTACCAATCGTTTTCAAATCAAGACATACGCGCCCGATCTGCTGGTTTAAACATGCCAAGTGCGCCTGACCCAGGCCCCGGCTTCTTTGATAGTTACGCCGTATTATACGGATCGAGCAAAGGCGCTCAGGTGCGCAACAAGTATTCAATTTCCTCCGTTGTGAAGAGGAAGGATTGAAGCTTTCCTTCTATAGCCGGCCTCGCCTATGAAAAACGTGTGCCTTATAGAGTAGGGTAGGGCTAGGCCACAAATACCTTGCCAAACCATAGCATAGACAAGGGTTTCGCCAAAGGCGACATTCCACCGCATCAATATGAAAGGAAAGACCGGACTCCATTAACGGAAGCGGAGCGTTCTGCTGACGTATTCAGTCATAAGCTCGGAACATTCGACCATATTGAATTTTGAAGTTGGTCTTTCCGATCAGGACGAAAGACGAAAGCCAGTGGATCAAGCAGATCCTACGCGGTGATAGATAAATCGACGCTAGCTAGCATAAACCATTGTATGTATTCTATTGAAGCAGTCATCAAATGAATGAATAAAGACTACTCAAGATAGATGACCGTGTCGTCATCATACTGTTGACTGAGATCTTCAGCCATGCGCTGCATAAAGTCCCAGTAAGAACGAAACGAATCCTTTGACATTTGCCTAACCATTCCCATTGGATAGAGAGATACCAGGAATCTCTCTGGGCCAAAACTGGGTTGGCATAGGTATAATACCACCCGGCGAATAAGCCACAATAATATGACGGAATCAATGTCGATTGTAGTTAGGGTGAATGTGCTCAGGTAGAGAAGAAGAATCAACTAGATGAAAACATCCGACTTTTCGATGGAAGTGGCACTAGCCTCTCTATTCTAATCTAATCTATTGAATCTATTTTCTTCTTTGAATCAACTCCTGGAATCAATAGGAAGTCAGCACGCGGGCGACGCTCTTTGATTGAAGGCTTTTCTCTGTTTTAGTTTGAGCATCATACAACTAATAACTAGACGAGGAATCCGGTTCAGATTTCACTTCAACTCCAACTGAAAGGCGATTTTCAGACATCGACTGTAGAGAGAATTTGAGCTGGAAATCATATAAGCGTTGATCCGGATTTTCCGTTTCCGGCTCTTGAAAACTGAACTTCTTATTGTGATGATGTTTTTGTCTTTGTTCGCTTACCTCCTAAAAAGGAGAGGTGAGAGGCCGATTTACACCAGCTGTTGACCTCAGACTTTAAACTCCTACTAGGGCTGCTCTCGTGGTGCCTGAAGGTCTACGACTCGTATTCCATCCTAATATGATTGGTGGTTCAAGAAGATGCTCGGATCCCGGCCCTATTTCGTTGGCAGGCTCCCATTGGATCTACTCCTCTTTCTGTGCTGCCTGCTGTGAAGCATCCCGTTTTGCTCGCTGTTGTGCCCGGCCCATAAGAATGGACTTCGCTCTGCCTACTTCTCCTCGAAAGGTGTAATCTTCATCAAAGGATGTACGATTCATTCCTAAACACCGAAACAACGGTTGATACAGGCATTCGGGCAGGTGATGGGTGCAACTAGTCCATATACGATTCAATATGTCTCACTAGCAAGATCCACCAAAAAGACGGGGGGAAAGATGAGAGAAAGAAGGCTAGAAGGAAGCCTTCTCATTGGCTCGGTCCCTCAAATAGAAAGGTTTTCAATACCTCGCCGGAAACTACTTCAAATCAAAGCAAGCCCTCAATGTAAAAATGACAAAACAGTAAAGGGCCGTAACGCACGATCATGACAAAGGGTCACTGACTAGCATGCGATATCAATCAATACGAGACGAGGGGCCAAAAAAGAAGCTATGATGGAAGGAAGAAGTTTATTTTGATGAACATATGGGTTCCAGAGTTCATCGAGGAGCAAAGTAAATAACTGAAAGAGGCGAGTCAGAGAGGTAGCTTTTCTGCCACACATAGAGGTCTTCCTTGGGCTGACCATTAATTAGGTGTGTCCGTTTGGACAGGAAGAAGTTTACCTTGACTATATGATAATCTGAATGAATCTCAAGTGTGACAGCAACTACTATCGAACCTCGAAGGGAGACATCGTAGACAAGAAGGAAAAGGATTCTATATAGCGTTAGCCCCTCCGCTCCAATAGGAAGTGATGATTGAACCAAGAGGAGATTCTCGTTCTCGAGATTGCTTATATTAACACTTTTAGTGTTGACCAGGGAGAAATCAATTCATTCAAAAATGCCCTACGTTTGATCCCAGCATTGGTCCTCCAATCGATAGATGCCATGGTTCGTAGGTACCAACAAGTGTACCAAATCCTGACCAATTAGAAAGAACCTTCCTGATTATATCTACTATACGATCTCTGACAGGTATTTAGTAGTTCAATTCAATAAAAGGTATCGAGAAGAAAGAAACTACTCACCATAGATAGCAAATCCGTCTTTAGTCTATAGATAATCCATCTTTCATCCTTTTCAGCTGCCTTCGTCAAGCAAGAAATCATACTGACTTAGACATCCATCCGGACTTAGTCTACTATACTAAAGAGGGTGAGATGCCTTTCTTGGCGCCAGCGAGGTGACTACTTACTTAGAGAAAAGCAGAGGTCTCTCCGTACCACAAGGTTTTGATTCCCACTTCCAAGTCAATGCCTATGAAACATGTTTTCAATAGTCTGTCACGTCATCTCGATCCTCAAATGGGCGCTACCCTACCATAGATAGAAAAGATATTCCCACCTATCTATCGATTGGTCATCCCAGCCCAGTTTTGGTACTCAATCTTGATATTGTCGGGGCACCTTTC